AATAATTTGCTGTTACTTCAATAACTACTTCTTAACTACGAAAAGTGCGACTAGTATAGAAAATTCACGTATACTAAATATTCTACTACTTTTTTTCTCCTACTATCTTTTCTAAAAAAAAATTTTAATATTTTTTTGTATTAAGGGTTCAAGTAAATTTATATATAAAAATATTTATATATGTGTGTATATATTCAATATATTCTACTACTAATTTTCTACTACTACGGTTTTCAAAAAATAAACTAAGATATTTTTTTATAATAAAAATATAAATAAGTTGCTATAAAGTTCATGATTTTCAAAGAAAAAAGGTCAAATAATTATACTTATTGCATTTAATAGCTTCACAAACTACTCAAATATTTCCAAAAAAAAAAGTTAGAGAAATAATTAATTGAAGTTAAAGGTGCCTGCAAGACGAGAAGCTCTACTACTATTTATTGCTCGAAGCCGTACAATAACAACTCATAAAAGTAAACCACTTGACTTTGGCTGCTATTTATTTCCCCGATGTTTCTAATTAATGTCACTGGCTTTCGAACACAAGTGCAAGCTAACGGTAATTAAGTAAAACTCACCAGCAGGTGGAACAACTGCACATACTTTCTTTCTCAACTCATTTCCAGCCGCTCATCAATATTAATCAATTTGTCTGGACAACTGGTTCTACGGGTTAAATATAAAAAGTATTTTCAAATGTAAGCTAACGCACAAGTATTTAGGTATGTATGTAGGCATTCTCTTGTATGCAGTCAACCAGCTTGACTATGTAATAGTTAGTCGAAAGAATGCCAATGGAGTAAGCTACTACACTGTGATTACACTGTTAGTTGGCAGCTTAGATGCTCAGCGGATGGTTTAAGTAACTAACTGAATGTGACCTAGATTTTGCTTGAAAAGTGGAAAAAAGCATACAAAACTTTAGTACACACACATCAACACATGACTTATGCATTAAAGCTACCAACTGCATGCATGCAACGAATATCAACAACAAATCAACGCTATCAGTTTAAAGAATCGTCGCTGCACTCAACAATGTAATAATTTAGTAAAAAAAACAATAACAAAAAAGAGAGAAATAACGAAAAAAGCAGGTGAAGAAGCAACCAAAATGCTGCACCTTCCATGCCCATAGAAGTAAATTACACATAAACTCGCTTAAGCAAGAAAGAATGCAGCGGCGCCTGCGCTCATCACCATCCAAAGTCGACTAACATTTCGTGCGGTTGTGGCAACATCTTCTTCAAGACAACTTTAAAGTGGTTGAAATAAAATTATGCATTCAAGCTTAATTATTTGCATTAAGACATATGTACATATAAGTAGTAGTGTTTGTTTGCTTAAAAATTATTACAGTAAGAGTGGCAGCTGCGGGTCCGCAATGGTTGAGGCGGCCAAAAATGCCACATGCCACTTGAGGTGTAGGCATGGGGGTGCAGTTGCTGTTGCAATTAATGTGATGGTATTGGATTTTGCAATAATTTTGGCTTAAATATATGTTTATATTAAATGGGCTTGGAGGGGTATTTTTGCCTTTTGGCGGATGTACACACAGGGTTAATAATTTTTTTCACTTAAAAATATAAAATTTTAATTTTTTAATAGAGTTTTTATTATTGTCTATATTTTATTTTATTTTTTTCCTACACAAAAATAATTTACAAAAATTAGTTTAAATATTTTCAGTTATTTAATTATTAGTTTTTAGAATAATTTAATTTTTTTCCAAAAAAAAATGTACATACGTATATTTAATTTCGGAGTTTTTAGTTTTAATTTTCCTCAATATATATACATAATTCTCACTTTAAGGTTTTAAAACAATTTTTCTATTTATTTTTGTCTTTTAAAAAGGTATTAATTATTTTTTTTTTTAAATTTGCCCATTTTTTTATATTAATTTAGTATTTTCAATTTTGGCTAGGCAAGTTGATTTATTCAGCCTAAATTACAACAAAATTTTGTATTAAAAAAAATATAAAAAAGTGATCAAACTCTTTGACTTAACTTGTTTAAAATATTTATTAAAATTTAAAATAAAATTTAATTATTCTTTACTAAAAATCGCGTTAATTTTTCGGGTAAAACTTTTTCGTTGCTATTATTTTTACTCTTATGTTTTATCGTCATTAAAATGAATTAAATTTCTAAATAAAATAATCAAAAATAAAATGCCATAAAAAATGTAAAATTCAGACTAACACAATAATCAGCAATAAAAGGCTTAAAATTACTCCAGAAGAAAATAAATAAATAACGCAAAACATTCTTAAAATTTAAAATAAACCAAATGAAAATAAATTAATGGAAAATATTTGGAAAATTAAAATTAAAATAATTAAATGCTTAGAAGGAAAAATATACCCCAAAAAATCATACTTAAAAATTTAATTTCAAAAAACTTAAAATAAAGAAAATTACTGAAATAAAATTCCTGTAATTTTTCTTAAATTCGAATTTTAATAAAAAAAAATTAACTGCACAAGAATGGGCTTAAATTTCTGTTTAAAATAATTAAAAAGAAAAACTGTAAAGTCTTCCTTAAATTCAAACGAAAACTTCAAAAATATGTTAAAAATCTAATAAAAATAATAAAAAAATATTCTGATTAAAATTTAAATAAGCAACAAAACTCAAAAATCACAGAAATTTTTAAATGTTTAATCAAATGCATATTAACAATTACTACAAATGAACGATTTTTGCCTGTTTGCATATGCAGTGCCCGTTTGTATCATCATAAATCTTAGCCGATCTCACTGGTATGCCTTCAGTTCACTGCATTTTTAGTAATTCTTTTTGTTTTCATTTTACTTCGTTTTATTATATTTTATTCTATTTTATTTTATTTCATTTTTCACATTTTATTTCTACGCCATGCACACCATATACGATCATGTACATATATATATGTCTACTACAATATTTATCGCGTTTAAAAGAAGAAATTACCGTTAAAAATTCTAGTTTGCAGTTTCTAGCTTTACAGTTCTCCTTGCTGACTTCATTTCTACTTACTACTTGTACGCGCCACTTTATTACTCGCCTACCCGCTACAGTAAGCCAAACATACCCACGTACATGCATACATACATATACCTACTTACTAGCATGTATGAGTAAATAGTTGTTGTTTTGACAATTGATCAATGTTGATGGTTTGCAAAAAAAAAAAACAGCAACAACAACAATAACTAGTCAACCACATGCCCGTTTTACGCGCTGCAATACACATATAACCGTCGACTGTTTAACTATTCATGCCATAAGCATAAGAAAAATACATATATATTGAGTGTTGGTGCTGTTGTTGTTTCTGTAATAGTTGGTAGTGCTGTTATTAGGGTGGTAGTGGTTTGGTGTTGGTTATCGAACAAGTGTTTCAGCAGTCAGCCGTGAGGCGAGAAAACTGGCATGACTTGCATGCAACAGTAACTTGCATTTATATTAGCTTAGCGATATACAAATATGTATGTGATATATATATGTATATATATATATGTATATACGAAAATGCAAATGTGTATGTAGGTAGTTACAGTTTTTACAAAAAAAAAAATGAAGCCGCGCTTTATTTCAGCTTACAACGACATTGTCGATGACTTAAGTAGAGCATAAGTAGAGCATTCTACATGTCTAACTCATACATAAGCAGAACCCACATATACTATATATAACTACATATATATTTATATATAAGTAGCTCCTAAGTCTCTTTTCAAGAATTTTTATCATTAAAGCCACTTTAACTTATTTTGTTATACCTACAACTCATTGGTGACTTGGCTGTGAACATACGAAGTAAGTCTCAATATGTATGTTGGTATGTATGTAGTAACGCTAAAGTCGCAGCAAATGTATAGAAAAGTCATTAGGCAACTGTAAAAGAATCGTCACGCAATTTTTGCTAAGCATTATTAGACATATTTGTGTATCATTACGCATTTCGTTATGCTTTTGCCAGAGGGAAGACGAAGCATTGGATGTAGGCCTGCTGAGGCGAACAATAAAATGTGTGACTGTAACAGTGATATAACTGCAGGCCATAGATGTAATTGCACGTTAATGTGCGAATATTATGTAAATTATATTTAACTACGAAAGAAAATTTTATTTAATGCGGAAAATTATTATGGTATGTAGTGCTACAGAGCGTATGAGTGATATTATGATATAAATTATATACAAATTCAAAATAAAATAAAATAAAAATATATAGAATAAAAGAAATATATAAAATAAAAAAAATTATAATAACTTTTTATAATTTATATAATAAAAATTTAATAAAAAAAATAATAAAATAAAATAAAAAATAAAATAAAAAAAATAAATCAAAATATAATAATATAAAGTAATAAATAATAATATATATAAACATAAAATAAAATAAAATAAATAAAATAAAATAAAATAAAATAAAATAAAATAAAATAAAATAAAATAAAATAAAAAAAATAAAATAAACCAAAATAAAATAAAATAAAATAAAATGAAATAAAATGAAATAAAATAAAATAAATTAGAATAAAACTTAAATTAAATTGAAAATAAAATAAAAAACTTAAAATAGAAAATAATTAAATTATATTAGGAAAACAAATGAAAATAAAATACAATAAAATAGAAAACCAAATTATATTATAATAATATTATATAATTGAAATTGAAACAAAGCAAATGAAGCAAATTTAATTAATATAAAAATTAAATAAACAAAATAAATTAAAAAAATTAAATTGAATTGTATTAAATCAAAAAAAGAAAACAAATCTAAATAAAATAAGTAAAATTCAATAAAAAACTACTATTAATCAAATTCGAAAAAAATGAAAATAGAAAAAACCTAGCATAATAACATAAAAAATAACAAAAATACAGAAACTAAAAAATTGTAAAATAAATAATTAAAGGTAAAATAAAATAATAAAAAGGTTATTTAAGAGAAATTAATTATTATTAATAAAAGTAAAATGAAATAAAATATAACTCACCATTCGGACAAGAGAAACCCTCTTCAATTGCTGCATTCGTCGTTGTTGTCGTTATGGCTAATAAAACCAAAATCAGAAAATAAATAGCGGACAGCCATCTTAAACTGGCCGCCGTAGAACAGCTCATTTTGCGAACTTCAAAAACGACTACACGCTGTTTTTTATATGTTAATTAGAGCCAGTTTATTTATTTTTCAATATACAATTTTTATGCTAAAAACCTTTTAGTGATGATTACTTGAAATAATGCTGGAAAATAAATAAAAAGAAAAATAAAAACTTAATTAATTATGCAAAAAATATAATAAGAACTAAAGCATATTTTAGTTATTAAATAAGTGAGGAAAAACTTATATAAATTTAAATTGTTTTGCTTATATTCTTTTTAAGTTCATGTTTCTTTGTTTTCCAGTTTTTCTAAGTATTTTATTATATTTTATTATGTGCCTTTAAGCATCCGCATATACAACCAAGCATTCCAGCTGACTAACACGTATCAAATATCACACACAAAGCGACCCACCGACCCACCGACCGACCGACACATTTGAGGAATTATACGCAAACGAAACTCAGCTAAATCACCAAGCACGTGCAAACTGTCTCATAACATATACAAAGACACTTGCGCCAGCATATATAAAACTGCAATAAACAGTTAAGGTAAAAATAACAAAAGTAAAGAGCACAATTTCACTTCCACTGCAACACCTTCGAATTTATGCACCTTTTAAAGCCTCATTATTTGAGTAGTGCAGCACTTCGTATCATTTAACTTCAATATGCACATGTGAGTGTGCTTGGCAACGTTGTATGTAATTTTAGAAAGTCGCCTACAGTTATAACTGAGTTTGCCAATTGAATTTAAATCAAAACTGCACTGAATAGCGTTCGAAATTTCTACTCACAACGTCGCCGTGGCGGGCGCTGAGTTTTCTCCAACACTAGTGGCTAAGTTGCGGTATTGTTGGTAGCGCACCTCAAGATAATTAGCTAAATACGGTTTTAACAAGTGCAAGCGAGTATTTAATGCCAAATGAAAAGCTTCAATTACACAGTTGCGTTGTGGTGGTATAATTAATGCAATTGTTTGGTTTAGTGTTGAGATTTTCCAATATTTTTTATTTTTCTTTATTAAATTGTATTTCAAAACACTTTATTTTATTTTATTTTTTTTAATTTTATTTTATATATTTATTTCCTATTAATTATTTTATTTCATTTTATTTTATTTTATTTTATTTAATTTTTTTAATTTTTTTTTTGTTTTTTATTTCATTTTATTTCATTTTAATTTAGTTAATTTAATTTAATTTAATATTATTTTATTTTAGTTTGTTTTATTTTATTGTATTTTATGTTATTTTATTTTATCTTATTCTATTGTATTTTATTTTATTTTATATTAGTTTATTTTATTTTATTTAATTTTATTTTATTTTATTTTATTTTATTTTATTTTATTTTATTTTATTTTATTTAAACTCTTCGTAGGTTCATTGCCTGACCTTCACTCAAAGCAGGAACAAAAGATTTATGCAACGAACCCGTCGTTGACTAGACAACTGAGATATTCAGCGATTTGAAGTGGACACTATCGCTTAACGCTGGTGATATTGTTTCTGTTGTTGCTTTAACGGTTAAAATAGCGCCAACGCTTAACCTTGCAGCTTGATATCCACTTGCAACGCGCAAACGGTGTTTGTTTGTTTTTCAAGTGCGTATATATATTTTAAAAGTCCAATTCAAATATATATATATATATATATATTTATACGTATTGAGAAAAATTTGCATTAATTTCCGCAAATATATGAACATAAAGCATTTCTGCGTATTTCTTCGTAATATTATCTGGAATAAAATATTTTCAAATGTGTTACACGAGAGTTGACAAAATTTCTTTGATGTTTCTTGGATAGATTTTCTTTATATTTAAAATTATTATTTAAATACTAATTCTCTTATGTGTACTTGAAAAAAAAAGTTTTTAATATTACGCTTTTGGTCCGCAGGAAAATCTAAACGTACTTGAAAAGAATTTGAGGTTTTCAAAATCATTTTAATTTTTCAAGCAAACCAACAATTTTGTCTGCGCATGTGTAATGATAGGTGCGGTAGCCCACACAAATACATTGCTACCTTAAGTGCTGTATTATTTTTGTAAATATTAAATAATAAATGGTAATCTTTTACTCGATTCCTAAATGATCTGACCTTCAAGTGGCTTAAGTTGTATATCTTTATGCACACATATATATGTAAATTATTTAGCTACCGATATTATTCATTCTATTAAACGTAGATTTATAGGTGCAGCTAATGAATGGAAACAAAGGTAAGGTAAAATATGGTAAAAGGAAATGATGAAACAAAGATTAAAAGTATTGAAAAAATTATTGAACAATTAATCAGCATTTGTTAAAGATAATTCGATTAAATTGGCTTTTGATAATGTAAAATTGGAATGGTTAACAAAACTAGGCAAGATTATTTATGTGCAGATATTTGTAGAAATTTAAAAAAAATTTATTTTTTTTTTAGTTATGTTGTATTAAATTTTTAAATAAATTTTTATGTTAGTTTAGAATATTTTAATTTCTTTTATTTTATTTTTTATAAATTATTTTATTTTAGAAACTTTTTTATTTCATTTACTGTTTTTATTGTTTTTCATTTTTTTATCTTTATTTAAGTTAAATTTAATTTATTTTATTTTTTATTAATTATTTAATTTTGTTATTTTTTAAATTATTTTATTTTTTTTAAATTATTTTATTTTAGAAACTTTTTTATGTCATTTATTGTTTTTTTTTTTTTGATATTTTCATTTTGTTTTTGCCTTTATTTTATTTCATTTATTTTATTTTATTTTTTATAAATTATTTTATTTTAGAAACTTTTTTATTTCATTCATTGTTTTTATTTTTTTTTTTTTGATTTTTTCATTTTATCTTTATTTAATTTCAATTTATTTAATGATATTTTATTTTAAGTTATTATATTTTCTTTTCTTTTATATCGTTTAATTTTTTTTTATTTGTTTCTAATTTAATACTATTTTTTATTTTATATATTTCGTCATTTTATGGTAATTTGTTTAAATGTCGGTCAATGCATTTTGTTCACAAATATATATTTTCACATCATTGTTATGTATGTATGTCTATGCAACTTTAGGAAAATAAAAAAAGCGAATTCATGTTGAAGCGTCTTCGGGCGATGGGTCGCCTTTCAAATGTAAATTTGTTTACAATTTTAACTGTTTCATAAAAAAAAACCTAATCAGTGCAAAGAAGAAGAAGAAATAAATTAGTTTCCGTAACTTAGATGAACTCAAAAGTAATGCAAATAATATTGAAATAAAAATAAAAATATATTATAATTAGCTATTAAAAAATATTATTTCTTTTTAAACATAAGCGCATAAAAAAATATTACTGCAATAATATTTAGAAATAAAAAAACTGTTAAAAATACTAAAAGCAAATAAATTTAAAAAAATTTAAAAAAATTATTTTTAATTCTTTTTGCAACATATTTTTAGATTTCGCATGCGAAAAATGTCTAAATGTAATTTAACTGCAATACAGAATATATATAATATATGTACATGTATATATGTGCATAAAAGCACCTACTATCGTAAATAGTTTACCACGTCAGGGAATTGAAATAAGTTAAAATTCACGAAGTATTCTAAAAAATATTTTTTTTATTTTTATTTATTATTGGAATAAATAATTTTTTACTTTTATAGTTGTTTTTTAATTTCTTTATATTATATCATATTTGTTATTATTTGATAGAAAATATAAAAAATAAGCCAGGGCAAAAAGAGAGAGAGAGAGCATTCTTTAATATTTAACGCTTTTTAGACTTAGAAAGCCAAAACTCAACAACAAATTATAGTTCCTGCATAGAAAATTACTAAAATTCCGGCAACGTTTGCTTAATCATATGTAACTGGGTAGCTTCTTGCGAAAAAAAAACTTTAAAGTAATAATCAGCTGGTGACTCATCATTTTTGCTAAAAAAATATCGGCCTCGTTGGCTATCAATTATAGTAAATCAATATAGAGATGAGCTCATTGTTGTGAGAAGAATATATGTATGTTTGAATAATGTGATGAAAAGAGCTTAGCAGATGAGTGTATGAAGTAAGTAATAACAAAAAAAAACATTTATTTGAATATTTATCGTAGATTATAGGTCAATTTGTATTTATATATTTGTTTATATTTTTATTTATTTGTTTATATTTTTATTTATTTATTTATTTAATTTTTAGTTTGATTTTTTTTTTTCGAATATATAAAAACTATTTAAAAACTGCTCATAAGCCACTTAAAAATTTACACATATTTCACTAAAACACTTGTATATATGTAAAATCAGCATTCTCTCTAATCCGCTGCCATCGAAAATATTCGCTAAGTAACCATCCATTAGCCATCGATATGCTTTTGACTTCTTGTGTTTGCATACCACACCTACGCAGAATTTTAACAAGTTTGCTAACCGGTTGTCTGCTTGGCGCTAATTGGTTTGCCAAAATAGTGCTTGGCGTAATTTTCTTCAGCTAATTAAGTTAACTTACTTTGTTCTTATATAAAAATAGTCAATAGAGGAAATATTGGGCACAAAAAAATGTTGAAAAAAAAAAAAAATATTGACAAAAATTTTTTTTTTATTTGGTGGTGTCTGAAGGACTTTGGCAGCCAATGCTAGTTCGTTTAATGGATTTATAATCAGTTCTCTTGCAGATAAATAAATAAAAAAATAATAATGATTAAAAAATGATTCTATACATTTTAATTTATTTTAAAAACATTTTTTTTTGTCAACATTTTTTGCTAGTAAACACTTTTTTGCATCGGGTTTCGGAAGTATTCCCTTAAAAATGATTAATTTTTAACGTTTTGTTCATTTAACCATTTGATATTCTTTTTTTAAATATTTTTTCAGAAATTCATTTAACCATTTGATATTCTTTTTTTAATTATTTTTTCAAAAATTAAATTTTTCGGCTTAGGAAAAATATTTGAAAGTAGTAAGAGCGTAGCAAAATTTTAGTCAATCAAAATGTTATGCTACATTTTAAATTTTTAATTAATCCCGCATTTATATCAAACTCATATAAGCATATATGTAAATATACATTATATATGTATATTAAACTTTTTCACATTAATGCCGAATTTCATATTAATATTTATTTTTATATAAACTTGTTTGCATGAAGGTAT